GATCGTGACGACGACGAGGACGAGGACGAGGACGAGGACGACGACGACGACTGCGGCGACGACGACGACGACGACAGAGATCGTGACGAAGACGAGGACGAGGACGAGGACGAGGACGACGACAACTGCGACCACGACGACTGCGACGCGACGCGACTGCCCTACCACCCCTTGGCGAGGTCGCGCTGGCGGCCAAGGCGGGGGGCCCGCTGGGCTGCGGCGGCGACGCGCGGCAGCGAGCGTGGCCCGCCGCCAAGCTGAGTCACCAATGGCTCACACTGATGTGATGAGGGGATGCGGATGAAGGAGGGAGGGAGAGGCCAGGCTAGAATAAGGAGCGTTGGAAGGAGGGTTGGAGGGATGACTGATGAAGGGAGGGTTGTAACTTGGAAGGAAGGAGGGATGAAGGTTTGAGGCAGGGTTGGATGGAGATTTGGACGAAAGTTGGTGCGGTGCTCGGCGCTTCGAGAGTGGGTCAGGGCCTGGGGCCAGGGGTCAGGGCGAAACGATTGGGGGGGGGTTGGATGGTGATAAGGAGGGTTAATCGGAAGGATGGTTGGAGGTTGGAGGGGTCACGGCCACGGCGGCCACGGCGGTCGGAGGGAGGGTCTGGTTGGACGGACTCCCGGACGGACGGGTGGAGAATGGGCCGATTGAGTTGGGGGTAGGGGGTAGGGTTCGAGGGAAGGTTCGAAGCCCAGAGAGGATGGCCCCGACGGGAAATGAGGGAGGTACTGGGAAGGCGCGAGGGCACGCGAAAGCGAGGAATGGATGGGAAAAGTGAGGGGAGAAGGAAATCAGGCGGCAGGCGTCAAGAGGCAAGCGGCAGCGCGCGGCGGCGAGCGGCGATCCTTCTGCCGCGCCGAGGCCGCAGCTGCCGCAGCTCGCTGGAGCTGCCCTCCTGCGCGCCGCCGGGGGGCCGGGAGGCGCCGGAGGGTCGAGCGGCCGGCGGGCGACGGTGACGGCCCGTTGGTGGCGACGGCGAGGGTGGCGACGACGACGACGACGACGACGACGACGACGACGACGACGACGACGCCTGCGGCCGCGAAGACGCGACGGCGACCACGACAACGATTACGACGACGACCACTTGGCTCGGCATGAGGACGGCGACGCCCGACGTACGACGGCGACGGCGACGGCGACGGCAACGCCGTCGGCGATGGCGACGGCGACGGCGACGGCGATGCGACGACGACACGACGACGACGACGACGACGACGACGACGACGTCGACGACGACGACGACGACGACGACGACGTCGACGACGACGACGACGACGACGACGACGACGACGACAGCGACGGCGATGGCGACTGCAACTGCAACCACCCCGCACTGACATGCTCCTGACAGGGAAGCCCAGGGCCGGGGCCCAGGGGCCCGGGTCCCAGGGCCCAGGGCCTAGGGCGGCCCCGAAGCCCGAAGTCAGTGCAGAGGAGCCCCGAAGCTCAGAGCGTGCTCTGGAAAGCCCCAAATGTCCCTGAAGCCCTGAGAGGTAGAGGAGGAGGAGGAGGAGGGGGAGGAGGAGGAGGAGGAGGAGGAGGAGGAGGAGGAGGAGGAGGAGGAGGGAGGAGGACCTGAGGACCTGAGGAGGACCTCGGAGGAGGAGGAGGAGGAGGAGGACGAGGAGGTGGAGGTGGAGGAGGACGAGGACTGGGGCCCGAGTCCCGAGTGCTGGACCTTTTCCAAATTGGGCCACGAGCGCCCCAAGCAAGCGGCGGTGCTGCGCGCTGCGACGCAGCGGCGCAGCGGTGCCTCGCCGGGAGCGCGGGCGGCGCACTTGCTGCTATTGGCCTCGAACCTCGAGCCTGCAGCATAATCATTGCGGCTGCAGGCTGCAGGCTGTCGACTCTGGAGCCGAGCAAGCTGCCCAGCGGGGGGCAACGGGGCCCGGGGCGGACCGGCAAAGAGAAAGAGGATAGAGGTTGCCATCGCACGTAATGTCATCACGTTCACTGTCGTCAACTCATCGCCGTCAGGAGTCAATATCGGCGATACTGACTCCTGACTCCCGATGGTGGCGATCGCGATACTGCATCGCGATCGGCACCATCCTCGTCGTCATCGTTGCCGTCGCCACCAAGACTGCCGTCATCGAAATCATCATCATCGTCGTCGTCGCCATCACTATCATCACCGGACCTCTCGCCTCTCGACGGCCAGTCACCGCCCCGCGCCTAGAGCCGCCGCTCAGTTGGGCCCGTCCAGGCTGGAGGGGCTGGATGGTGCCGACCCTGGAGGCTCCAGCGTCCGCACCATATGCTCGCAGATGACGTGGAAACCCGAGTCCTTGAGCGCCGCGAGCTCCACCGGCGTCGCTGGGTCGGTCGCGAGGAGGTAGCTGCTGCGAGTGTTGATTAAGATGTTCGCCTTCAACGGGTTGCCGACCGCCTGCCCCTCCACGCACCTGAAGAGGCGCATCGCCGCCACGGTCTCCTTTGCCGTACTCAAGTCAAGATGCGCCGCCACAGTCATCTTCACGATCGCGCAATTGTAGGTGGGCGGCAACGCGTCCGGGTCCGATCCGCTGCCGCCACGGTAGTCGCCGTTGTCGCCATCGCCGACGTCCTTAGGCTTCGGTGGCAAGGTAACCGTGATCCAGTCGTCCGCCTCCTGGTGGAAGATCGTGATCTTCTCGCCGACGTTGCCGTCCAGGGCGGGCCACTGCGGGTCCTCGGCGTAGGGGTCGGGGCTGGTAGGTTCTTCCTTCGTGGATATGTACAGCCACGCGTTCGGGCTCACCAACTCGTCGTCCTTGATCTCTTCCCCTCTCTGAAGGGGCACCGTCGTCTCCTTCTTGCACGACGCTTTGTGGATCACGATCGTCTTGTTCCTGTACCAGGTGCTCATGTAGGTCTTGAGCTCCGCCTTCATAGAGGCGCCCAGGGCTGCTTGGCGGTAGAACTGCGACTCTTCATCTTCCTCGTGGATGTGGATGCCGATATCCTGCGACTTTGTAGTGAAAGGCAACTCGACCCAACCCTGGGGATCCTCGAGCCACATGTGATATCCGCGAACCCGAGTAATTGTCACGTCAGAGCCCTGCACGAGGTAGAGGTTCTTCACCGTCGTCGCCATCTGCGCTGGGAGAGCTGGCGGCCAGCGAAGGTAGTTGCTGCAAGTCGTTGCTCAAGCGAGCGCGAAACGCAAGAAGCTTGAGCCAGATTGTTGCTACGGGCGGCCGGGCGGCCCCAGGGCCCCAAGGCCCCAAGGTAACCACTACTTCTCAGAGTATGTTCCCTACCTAGGCTCTGCCTAGAAGGGTTCTTACTCTCTCAGCTTAAAGGGGCCGGGCAGTGGAAAGCGCCCCGGGCGGTTCCCCCAGTCCCCTGGGAGCGGCCCCCTGGGAGCTTTAGCTTTAGCTTTAGCTTTAGCTTTAGCTTAGCTTTAGCTTAGCTTTAGCTTAGCTGTAGCTTAGCTTCAGCTTAGCTGTAGCTCAGCTTTAGCTTAGCGTTTCGCTTAGCTTTTCGCTTAGCGTTCAGCTGAGCTCTAGCTTAGCTCTAGCTTAACGTTAGCTTAGCTTTAGCTTAGCTGTAGCTTAGCTTTGGCTTAGCTTTAGTTTGGCTTTAGCTTAACTTTAGCTTAGCTTTAGCTTAGCTTTAGCTTAGCTGTAGCTTAGCTTTAGCTTAGCTGCTGCTCAGCATTAGCTCAGCTTTAGCTCAGCTTTAGCTCAGCTGTAGCTTAGCTTTAGCTTAGCGTTTCGCTTAGCTTTTCGTTTAGCGGTCAGCTTAGCTTTAGCTTAGCTCTAGCTTAGCTTTAGCTTAGCTTTAGCTTAGGTGTAGCTTAGCTGTGGCTTAGCTTTAGTTTGGCTTTAGCCTAGCTTTAGCTTAGCTTTAGCTTAGCTTTAGCTTAGCGTTAGCTTAGCTGTAGCTTAGCTTTAGCTTAGCTGCTGCTCAGCATTAGCTCAGCTTTAGCTCAGCTTTAGCTTAGCTTTAGCTTAGCTTTAGCTTAGCTTTAGCTCAGCTGTAGCTTAGCTTTAACTTTAGCTTAGCTGTAGCTTAGCTGTAGCTTAGCTTTAGCTTAGCTTTAGCTTAGCGTTACTGTTACTACTAATGCTGCTTTCCTAGGGGTTCCAACAACTCCTAGGTAGGGTCGCACTGGAATAATTTTTGAGGGGCGCCACGCGCGATCATCTTCGCACTCGCCATCCCACTGAAATAGGGCAGGCAGGCATCCCGCGCCCGCGCCCTTGTTATCTTCGCGCAAGCTGCGGGGCGTAGTCTGATGGCCTGGAACCCCGGGGCCACGCGGGGGCCCCGCGGGGGGCAGCTCTCCCTCGGCCCCTCGCATCGATGCGCGCCTCGCCCACTTAGTCATCCTCGTCGTCGCCGCATCCCCCTACCAGGCCTCGCGCCTCCCGATCCTCGCCCTCCTCGGCGACTCCTCGGCCCTCCACATTCCTCCTCGTCGTGTCCCCCCATCGGTGTTCGGCCTAACCCGAGACTCGGCCCCAGCCTGGGCACAGCCAAGAGGTCATTCGGGGGTTGTCTGGGAGAGAGGCGAGCGAGTGAGGAAATCGACTGGCGGGCCCTGGAAGACGGAAGACGGACTGGCCCAGGCTGGTGATCGGATCAGCTCAAATCCCCGATGGGGGCTCACCGAGGAGGCGAGGAGGAGGAAGATGGGGCGGTGGGGGATGAGGGCGAGGAGAGGACATGAGGCGGTGGTGATTAAGAAGTAGGAAGATAAAGGATAAGGAATACCTGAACGCTCAGCAATAGCAATTGTTTTCGAGCCCATTTCCAACTCATTGAAATTGTATCGCGTCTGGCAGCAAGCATCGCTCACTCGTCTCCCTCTCCATCCTCGCCCTCGTCCTCGCCCTCCTCGTTCTCGTCGTCCTCCTCCTCCGACTCCCCCATCCCCCTCCTCAAAGCATCCTCCCTCTCCTCGCCGCCCCCCTCCCCGCGAGCTGCTGGCACTCACAGAAGCTAGACCGCAAACGCTGCGGCGTGTTTGCGGCCCTGGCGAAGGCAGCGCCAGCGCCCCTACGCTAGGCGCCAGGCGGCGCGGGGCGCGGGTCCGCAGGGGTCGCGGCGGCCGGGGCCTGGGCCGCCGCCGCAGCGGCCGCAGGCCCGCTGCTGGGCAGGGCCAGCTGAGCTGCTGGCTGAGGCCAGGCGGGGTCACCCTGGGGCCACAGGACCGCGCCAATGGCAAAGGCTGAAACGGCAGCTGCAAGGTTGACGTGCACAGAGTTCCCCATGAACACCTTGTGTTGGCTCTCCTGGAAATCGCACGTCTCGTGAGGAAATGACCTCGTCAAAGACCTGGGCAGCATGCCGGGCACTGGCCACCCCTGCATGAACCAGAGCTCCTCTGGCACGAGGGCTCTCTCAGTGACCATGTCGTACAGGATCGACCCCTTCAGGAGCCTGGGGAAGGCCATGGTGTTGGCGCTGACGTAGCCGCTCTCGTTGTTCAGGCATACAATGGCCGCGCCGACAGACCACTTCTTCTCAAACTCGTTCGGGGTCCCAGGCAGGCCGACGTCGCAGATGCCCATGTCGATGCACTTCTCCTCGTGGTCGTGGAGGCGACGCCTCTGCGACGGTAGCAGCGAGTCGAAGAAGCTGGAGTTGGCGCTGTCGAGGCCGTAGAGCTGGTCGTTATCGAACCTCTCAGTCAGGAGGGAGTCAATCATCTCGGGGGTCGCTCGCAGCATGTCCGCGAGATCGACGTTCTGGGAGAATGGCTTGAAGATATCCTTGAGCATGTACACAGCTACCTGGCTGCCAGCCTGGCTGATCGATTCGGCGTCGCCCTGGGGACCATCATCTGCAGCGGCGGCCGCCGCCTCAACCCCAACCATGGCCGGGTTCACTTTCAGGGTCTTGAAGCAGCAACACTCATTGCGGATCGCCAGCAAGAACTTCCTGGCGCCTGAAGCTGGGAACCCAACGTCCAGGGGCTTCCCCTTGAGCACCACGCAACTGTATGCCGCCGATTCGCCCACGGGCGCGAATGGCCTCGGTTGTTCGGCCAGCAAGTCCACCATGCCAATTTCTTCAAAACCTTCCACGTTCTCTTGGATAATGGCGGTCGGCCTCATCTTCTTACATGAATGCGCCCACACAAGCATGGGGAAAGTCGCCGGGTCCAAGTAGTGGCGGCACATGCCCGAGACCAACCTGCTCCACGGACAACAAGTGTTCCCGGCAAGCTCGAACCAGACCGTCTCCAAGTGGGGATCATAACCTTCGAAATTCGTCAGCGCCTCTATGCTGTCTCTGGGATTGATGTTGCAGTGCTTACCGTGCTCGAAGCAGTACGCCGCGGTGCACATACGCGTCTCCCTGACGAGCAAGTCCAGCTCCAAGAACAGCTCCTTGCCCAAGGACTCCCTCCTCTCGTCGACCCATTTCTTGGAATACGAAGGGGCCTCCGGCGACGCCGCGGCCCTGACGGCGAAGCTCTTCGCGTCGCTCATCAGCGACTCCATGATGGCCACCCCCCTCATCTTAACCTCCTGCGGGACGCGATCCAGCAAATCCCCAAAACGGTGAAGTGGGCGATGGCCGTGGGATTGCGACATCTTGGAGATAAGCCTCTGCTGGTGGGTGCCGTGCTCGGTGGTGGAGTAGAAGATGACCCTGCCCTTGCCGCTGGTAGTCTTGATCATCCAATCCAACATCCTTTTGTGGGCGTAGCTTTGGGCGCAAGTGCCAGCATAGGACTCCGTAATAATAATGTTGCAATCCGCTAGCTTCTGAATATCCTCGGGCCAGCCAGTGACATGTTGATCGGCCATGGCCTTGAACATGTCCGCCTCGAACTGGAAGAGCTCCTGGACGCCCTTGGGGCAAGGGCCAGGGGCGGCGCGGCGGCAGGAAGCCGCGCCGCAGCGGGGGCCGATGCTGCTCGCAGCGGCGGCGGGCCTCTTGGCGACGCTGCCGCGCGGATACAGCAGCAGATCTGGCGCCGCTGATGGCCTCTTCATCGCGTGGCGCGGAGTCGCGGCGCACTCGCGCGACGCTGGAACTCGAGACGCCCAATGCTGAACAGGGGAGGGGAGGGGAGGACAAGGTGACAAGGCCAGCAGGGCTCAGCAGGGGCCAGAAGGCGGAGGAGGGGAGGCTCCCAACGCAAGACCGGGCGGAGCCTAGCCCATGTCGGATAAACTCTAATAGACATGCACAGGGGGCCGGCCACCGGCCGACCCCAAAGCCTCGATGGGCCCTGGGAACCCCACGGCTCCAAGACTCAAGGGGCCACGCCAAGCTGTCAGGGCCTCGCAATGCCTGGTGCTGCCTGGCTGCCTGGCAAAGCATGGAGCGGGAACTCCCGCACGGGGACGTGTCCATGGGCGCCAGTGGGGCTTGGGGTGGGGCCCGACGCCCGAGAGTGCGATATTGAAGGGCCCTGAGCCCTTGAGTCTGGAATCCTCTGAGGGGCCCCTGAGTCCTTGAGGGGCCCTGAGTCCTTGAGTCCTTGAGGGGAACTGAACTCTGGCTCTGAATATTTGGCCGTTTCACAAGATATCGCCACAACGGCCAAAAATAACAAAAATATTTGCCAAACACAAGTGAAACCATCAGAAACTGATCAACATATACCAATACACCTTCGAACAATTCAAAACGACGTCAAAATAATAAGAATGCACGCAACAAAAAACAAATCCCACAACACAAGTACAAAAAAAATGAAACTTGCAAAAACAAATGTTTCCAATTATTTTTGCATGTTTGAAAATACATGTGCGTCATTTGTTTTTTTTTGTATTTTCCTTGAAGCAAGCGACGCCCGAATGACGGCCGAAACACCCTCAATGACGCCCGAAGGCTGCCGAAAGAAAAACGGCCACGCCCGAGAGACGGCCGAAACACCCCCAACGACGCCCGAACGCTGCCGAGAATTAATCATATGTTTGCAAAATGCGTTTGGAATATCAGAAAAAAACACAATAATTACAAATAATTACATTATAAACCAAAAACATTAAAAACAATATAATTATAATTAAATATATTAGAAACACACCAAAATCACGAACTACGCGCCCAAACACGTAGATTCGGTGCACAATTATCTAAATTTGCCTGCTTTCGATTGAAAACAACTGGAATTAATATAAATCATTATTTTTTGTTCGATCTATCAATTTCACGAGCTTTCTGGGCAATTTCGGAACCCCTAGGCCAAAGTTTGAACCATTTCGGAAAATTCTGAACCAGTTGAGGCCATTTGGACGCGGGGGGCTGGCGCCAGCGCCCTTTGCAAGTCTGCGGGGCCCTCTGAATCTCATCCCCCTTAGACCCACCGCCCAACATGAGAATATTGTGAGCGCGCGTCAAAAAATGTTTTCGAGCGTCAAATTGCTGTTTTCGAGTGTCAAAAAATGGTTTTCGAGCGTCAAAATGCGGTTTTCGAGCGTGAAATGGTGGTTTTCGAGCGTCAAAGTGCGGTTTTCGAGCGAGGGGGGGGGCGCGCCCATGGAGAGCGCTCGGCCGCTTGGGGACCACGAGGCTCGAGGGCGCCATATTATGCGTGTTTGTTTTTTGTAGTGGGGGTGGTCTGGAGTCTGGACTCTGGACGACGCCACTGGAATCCTGAGGTCCTGGAGCCTGGATGGAAGCCCGCTGGAAGGCCCCTGGAAAGTTGGCTCTCCTGGGCTCTCTTGGGGGCTTAGGAATGGCTGGTGTCCGAGTCCTCGGTGATCTCAGGAGTCAAGAGTCCCCTCGCAGGCCCTCGCGCCGTCTCTCCTCCGCCTCCCTCCTCCTCCTCCCTGCTCCCTCCTCGCCAATCGAGCGGGACGCCATTGCCCTTCGGGGGCCCATGGGGCCCATGGCCCTGGGGCCTTGCCCATCCAGCAACCTTCGCGCGGCCTCGCGCGTGACTTCGCCGCGGGGCGAGGAGAGTAATGATAGGATTCGGATGGCAATCGCATGAGCATCGAGCATTGAACGCGAGCGAGCAAGAAACACGTGACGAGGTGATGAAGTGATGAACGATGGGCAAGCTGGAACAAGAATGAGCAGACGACGACGACGACGACGACGCCGACGACGACGACGACGACGGACGACGGACGACGGGGACGGGGACGACGACGACGAGGACGAGGGCGAGGACGACGACGGCACCCGGCACCTATCTCTCTCTCTCTCTCTCTCTCTCTCTCTCTCTTTTTTTTTGTTTTCTCTCTCTCTCTCTATTATCTCTCTCTCTCTCTCTCTCTCTCTCTCTCTCTCTCTCTCTCTCTCCCTCTCTCTCTCTCTCATCTCCCGATTCGCATCCGATCCGCGGTTCTGAGACCGAAACAAACGCTCATCATCGCGCGAGCGGCCGAGAGGACGAGGCTCGGGAGGCGGCGGCGGAGGGAGGGAGGAGGGTGGACAGACGAGGAGGGGGCTGAGGCAAGAAGGGAGGGGGGAAACAAACCAGAAAGTATAACCTCCGACTCCTCTTCGCAATTCAGCCTCCGACTCCTCCATCCTCCATCCTCCTCCACGCGAGGCGCGCGGCGCGGGGCCGCCGCTGGCGCTGGGGCCGGGTCCCGCGCCACGTCGCAGCTGGAGGCCGGGCGGCCTGGCAGCGCGCGACGACGGACCGCTGGCTCGCTCCATCGCCCTCTTGTTCTCTAGCCTCCTCCTCGTCCTGGACTCCTCCTCCTCCTCCTCCTCATCTTCCAACTCCTCCTCCTCCTCCTCCTCCTCCTCCTCCTACTCCTCCTCCTCCTCCATCGTCGCTCCTTATCCCTCATCCCTCCCCAGATCCTCCTGCCCCTCATGCTGTCCACAGTCCACTGTTATCCCCATCCTTCCCATCTCATCTCCGACCTTCAACCTCCCTCCATCCTCTCCCTTACTCCTTCTCCTCATCTGCCCCCGCCCTCCTCCTGCTCACTCGTCCGTGCCGCGCCCCCGAGCACTGCAGCAGCGCCCTCGATCTACTCTACCCCCGCTCGCGAGGGCGCGCGCCCGATGCCGAGGCAAACGAATCAATGGGAGGGGCGAGGAGCACGACGCGACTAGACGACGACGACGTTTCATGCGGAACGCGTGGCCAAACACTCTGCACTGCGCCTGCTCCTGAAACCTAGCAGCCCCAACCTGTCGGGTGGGGGCGCAGGGGGGGGACTGGGAGGAGGCTGAGGATGAGGAGGGGGAGGAGGAACACGAGCCTGAAATGAGACCCGGAGGAGGGCCTGAGGCCTGAGGCCTGAGGGCCTGAGGGCCTGATGGGGATGTGAGTTGCAGCTGCGAGCAATAGAACGAGCAAGAGGAGGAGGAGCCCTGAATTTCGCCCCTGAATCAACTGCCAGGGCACTCAAGCCCCCCGAGCCCTGAGCAACCTCAGGGCCTGAGCTCCTGGGCCGCGGGCCGCCGAGCTCTGAGCCTCAAGCCCCTATGGCCCTATGCCACTATGCCTTGAGCCCCTCCGCCGCAACTCAATCGAACGTCTGCGTCTGCGGAGGCTCCTCGGCCTCCTCGGGCTGAGGCTCGGCCATGACCTTGTCGTGGTCGAGATATCCCATGGGACACAGCGACTGCGACTGCGACATGTCGTAATCGTAAGGCCCGTGAGAAATCGAATCCTCCTGGGTCAGCACATCGCTGGCGTCAACCTCCGCGAACATCCGCAACTGCTCGTGCGCGGCGGCGGTGCCTGGCGACGTCGCGTGGCCATGAGCGGGAGGACCACGGGGACACCTTGGTGGTGGACTCTTCGGGGCGGCCATTGCGGCCACTTCCGCTGCGGCGGCGGGGAGCGTCGGCGCCGTGGCCGCCTCAGCCGCGGCCGTAACCTCAGCGAAGGCAACTTGATCGCGATCACTCGCCGCGCTGGAGCCGCCGGCGCCGCCAGCGCCCGCGGCCGCCGCGGCCTCGGCCTCGTCGGCCTCGTCGCCCGCCTTGGCCTCTTTGGCTTTGGCTGCCTCAGCCGCCTCAGCCGCTGCAGCCTCAGCCTCCACGGCGCTGCTGTATACTGGGAAGTGGCACTTCATGAGCTTAGGCGCGCTCCCCGCGGCCGCCACGGCCCCCTCGCCAGGGGAGTCGTCGTCAGCCACCAAGTCCACGACCACGACGTCGTCGAAGGGCCTCTTCTTCTCAGAGGTCCTGCTGGGCGCCTCGCGCGCGGCGGGCTGGGGCTGCAGCGGCTGCGGCAGCGGCTGGGGCGGCTGGGGCGGCTGCGGCTGGGGATCGGCCGCCACAAGCCGTGGCGGCTGCGGGTGCGGCTCGCGGTTGGGCGGCTCGAACTGCTGCGACTGCGACGCCGCCACCAGGTCTTGGTCCGCGGCCTGGGACTCCGACAGCGACAGCGGCGGCGACTCCGACGGCGCCGACGCGCCTGATGCCACCTGATTGGAATCATGTACTAGCTGGGCCGCGGCCGCAAGAGGCCGCAATCAGGGCTGGGCTGAGCTGGGCGGGGGCCTGGACCTGGACCTGGACCACCAATTGTTCGAGCTCGGACGACGAATTGCCCGGGCCTGGCCTGGCCTGGCCTGGGGCTGAACGGCGGGCCTCGCCTGGGAGACTCGGGATTCGGATACGGCTGGGGCCCTCGAGCCCCTGGGGCTTGGCCCTGGCCACCGCGGGCCGAGAAGGTGCTGGGGCAATTTGGTTTTACTCATTACATCGGTCGCCGGGTCTCCGAAACTCAAAAAATACTATAAACGATGCGTGGAAGTGTCCCCCTCGAATTTGAGACGCGGGTGGCGGGTGACCTTTGCCGAGCCCATGGGGCCCATGGTGCTGCGGGCGGAGGTTAACCTGCTCGCTCGAGGGATGTCCAAGGTGATCTTATCGCCCATGGCCGCGGGCGGCCCAGGCACAGGGCGTCTGCGGTGCGAACAAGAAGGGCCAAGGACCAAGGGCCTAGGGCTGCTGAGCTGCGAGAGCGGCTGAGATGCCACAGCGGCCGCGGGACGTGGCAAGGGAGGAGGCGGGGTGACTGACCGGCCAGTGCAGTGCACAGCGCGGGGAGGGTCGGAGG